AAAGCACACATTTTCACAAAACTCAGAAAGTACCCCAAACTTTCTTGCAACCCCACAAAAAGTTATGTCACTTGATAGCCCTGATCTTGGTGACCAACATATTAAAAAAAATTACCCAGATTGGATCAGGAGTTTAAGAGTTTCATGGAGGTCTTAGTTTGACCGACCGCACACGAGGCTCCTGCCCAGAAAAAGTTACTTGAGTTTAGGTTGTACGGTCGGTCTATTTCGGAAAGTCTGTAAACCGAACAAATCCACACCCGGTACCCCCTGGCTCATAGGTAGTGTTTGTTCCCCTAGTTCGTGGCAACAAAACTACCGAATAGCACTCTCCTGGCTGGTCGGTGAAGGCAAGCAGGCGTTCGCAAAGTTTGACCGGCATTCGGGAAGTTGAGTGTCCGATTTTAGACCCGCTGCCTCTTTTCGTGTGAACAAGATGGCAACCATTTTCTCCTGCACGTGGCGTTCGAAAATACGCCACACAGGAAGAGCACTTAATTCTATGGTTTCCTTTGAAGTTAATGAGCCAGGGGGCTGGTCAGTGTTCAGTAGTTTTATCTAGCGAACAAGAAAAATCCAGTGCAATGGAAAAAAAACCGAAGTAGTTGCTTCACACCCAGTGAAAACCGATCCACTCCAATGGTAGGGATGCTGGGTGAAATAAAATTGAATTAAAACACATAATTTGTGAGTCTGTCATGTTTTGTGTGTGTGTGTGTTTGTAGGTAACCAGACCCTCTCCGATCTTATGGGAACAGTATTCATACTTGCCTTTTTCCCCCACACTGTGCTGGCTCGGCATCTGTGGCTGAGATCAAACTTGATGATCTCAGCCAATCCAGTGCTTTCCTATAGACAAGTATTGGGAAGTTATTGCAAATGTGCTGCAAAACAATGCACCAATCAGCATCTCCTCATAGAGATTCATTGAATCAATGTATCTCTATGGGGAACGTTGAACGCCTCCATGTAGTGTATGGAGATGCTGAATGTAGGTAATGCACACGGATAGGAAGCACTTCAGTAGCCAACTTTTCTCTGAAAAGGCTATAGGGACAGGCTACATTCAAGTGCAGTGATCCTGGTGACTATCCCTGTCTCTTTAAGAATTGTATTTTTGTCATTGAAAATAAAGCTTTGAAAGTTAAAAAAAAAAAAGACTCCTAATTTTTTTTTTTAGCTGGCTTCTAGATTCAAAGCAAATTTGTCAACAGCAACTGCTTCCTGACTACCTTAAAATGAAAATACCATACCAAATAAAAATATGTTTGGCAACATAAAAACATATATAAATTAAACACAATAAAGCACCAATGGCTGACGAGAAAACAACAATTATGCAGTATAGATATATATAAAAATAACAAATCGCACAGCGCTGGCACCCTGCCGTATAGGAAACACATTTCAACATGGATCAGTCTTTTAGTGTTCTGAGCCAGCAAATGGAAATAGTTTTACATTTGTATTTTGTTAAAGGGAAACTATAGGCAGCTAGACAACTTCAGCTCAGTGCAGTGTCACTGTCCCCCTTAGTCCAGCAATGTAAATCATTGCTGCTTTTGAGAAATTGCAATGATTACACTGCAGGACTAAGACTGCCTCTAGTGGCTGTCAATCTGCCAATCTACAATAGGCACTTCCTGATGGTTAAATGACTTTTGGCCGTCTACTGCTGGATGTCCTTACGCTCTGCATGAGGATATCCAGCACCAGTAAAATCCTCCTAGGAAAGCATTGAAGCAACCACCGATGGCGGAGAAAGCGGAGTGTTGACCCATTGCCAAGGGAGATCAGCACTGAAATTGGGTATATAAGTCTGTTTGGTTTTTTTTGGTTTTTAACCCTTTCCTCGCTGGGAGGGGGTTGGGGGGAACTATAGTGTAAGGAATACAACTTTGTATTTCTTACACTATATAATCCCTTTAAGTGTTTGAGGTTTATCAATGCATTATCATGAGCACATGAGCAATTTTTTTTTTCCAATGTATAATTTTTATTATAATTTTAACAATACATACATATATAGGAACAGAAACAAACCATGTGGTGCCATTGGGTTATGAAGCACAGTTTTCCAAACTCTAATAGTAATGAGGTATAACAAGATACCACAATACGCATATGTAAAATACTACATTCTGAAACATGGTGCCATCCAAGATGACCACCTGTTATTGAATTGATGCAGAGAACCGAGAAGTCTAGAGGACATTTCCTCATAAATTTTATTCTTGACAACTCTCTCTAGAACAACCAAATTAGGGGGTCGGTAGATTTCCAAGCTTGAGCCACACTAGATTTTGCCGATATTCATATATGCATGACAATAGTGTATATTTAATTGGGGATAAAGAAACATATCAAGGAGAAACATTTGTGGAAGCAGCAGAAAGGAAATCCCATCACTGATGCAACAGTCAGTTTGAACTGTCGTCCAAAATTTTGTAATTTCGAGGTAGCACTAGAATGTATGTTAGAACGGGGACACAAATGGAAATAACATTGATAAATAGTGAGGTTGAAAATACCATCTCATTAACAGTTTGCGATGTGTTTCCCAGTGAATTAAACATGGATCATACAAATGGCATTGGACCATTCTGCCTGCAAGAAGTGTTTACCCAGTTCTTGCTACCATTTAACCGATAGTACAACTTATCGAGCCTTGAGAGGTCATATAACACAATGAAAGAAGCTTAACGGATTTATTTCCACCTATGCACATCTTCCCAAAATCATTGACCAACTCTGGTTGTAGCTGGTTCCTTTCTGAGGTAGTAAAACATTCTTGATCCTAGAATAGCTCTCTAAGTGGGAGGATAATTGCCTTCTGTAGAGTATGAAAATGTTTTACATTTAATGAGGAGAGAATGTGAGACACTCTGGAGATGCCTCTTGCACTCCAAGAGGTAATGTTTAGAATCCAGAGAATTAAACTCAACATTATGGAGTGGAGCTAGCAGCAACATATGCAAGGAAGAGATCAATTTGTGTTTAAATTTATGCCAGACCTGTAGTGAAAAACATCACCATGACAACAAAAGGTTATCTTGACTGGACCCACTGTTCCTTCAGAGTGATATAGATCCAATTTGATCTTTGTTATATTCAGGGGAACCCAAATTGTTATTTTCAAGTGCACTTGAAGAAGCGTGAATTAGACACCAGCCACGTGTTGGTTATCAAAAAAAGGCCTCTGACATTTATTTTGTCAGTTGTGTTTTTATACATTAAAAAGTAAGTGCTTACGTGCAAATACTCATAGAACAGTAGTAGGAAGGGAGTGAAATGGTGAAAGGAGTATAGATAAGACATAGGGATGAACATCATGTACATATAACAGATGAGTTCCAGGAAGGAGAAGGAACAGACTGATTTAGGAGAGACAGCTCAGGTGGGGGCTATATGCTCCCGGAACTAGACACAGGGCCAGATTAAGAGCCCAGTGGGCCTGGTGCTGACAATTATGACGGGCCTAATTACAGAATCATATCGACCAAAAACAGTAAAACACTTCCAAGCGTCATGTATCTGATGGAGATGGTGCAGGAGAAAAAGAAAACAGCAGCTATAAGAAAACACATAACCTAGGCTAATCTCTCACTAATTTATGTTTTCATCTTTCAAGTAAATCCATAACCCCTAACAGCAGTGTAGAGTCAAGCAGGAAGTTAATGGGCACGGTATAAGGGTGTGCCACTGACACAAATCACGTAACCTGCCAAAAGGGGCGAACATGCCCAAAAAGAGGACATGTCTGCCCAAAGAATTAGAAGGCCAGCCTGGCATGAATGCATGTCAGGCTGCCTGCCAATCATGCAGCTGGCCAACTAAGGGCATACTATGCAGAAAGAACCCTGAGCTTGGCATAAATGCATCTAATGATGCGCTCACTCAACGCTTTCTAAGGACTGTCCCCTAGCACTCGCTGGTCCACTTGTCTCCTTACCTTCTTACTAGCAGGCAGAAGCTCCTGGTATATAGTCTGGGACATAGAAAAGCTGTATGTAGTGAGTGTAGAAGAAAGGGAACATGCCACAGTGTTAGAGAGACCAAAGTCAGCATTGCCTTAAAGGATCACTATAGGGTCAGGAACACAAACATGAATTCATGACCCTTCAGTGTTAACACCACCATCTAGCCCCCCTGTGCCCCTCATGCCTCCATAAATATAACAAAATCTTACTATATTCAAACCTGAAGCTGTAACTCTGCATGCTGTTAGACTCATAAAAACAAGCAGTCTGCTGACATCATTAGAAGTGGTGGCCTGATCCAATCACAGTGCTTCCCCATAGGATTAGCTGAGACTGACAAAGAGGCAGATCAGGGTCAGAGCCAGCATGATTCAAACACAGCCCTGGCCAATCAGCATCTCCTTATAGAGATTAATTGAATTAATGAATCTCTATGAGGAAAGTTCAGTGTCTGCATGCAGAGGGAGGAGACACTGAATGTTTGGATGCATTTTAGGCAGCCATGACCCAGGAAGGATCTCTAACAGCCATGTAAGGAGTGGCCAGTGAAGTTATCACTAGACTGTAACGTAAAGACTGCATTTTCTCTAAAAAGACAGTGTTTACAGCAAAAAGCCTGACGGTAATGATTCTACTCACCAGAACAAATTCAATAAGCTGTAGTTGTTCTGGTGACTCTAGTGTCCCTTTAACTATATTCATTGTCAACCAGTCCACACAAGTTTTGTTCCCATACATCCCTCTTAAGTTTCCATACTTAAGTAAGAGTATGTGAAAAGTAGTTAGGGTTGCCACCTTTCTTGGGTAAAAAACAATTTGCATAATTAAATATGTATGGGTGACATCACATGATGTAAATCACAAGGAGTGACATAAGAGAAAATACTGCAAAATCACCAAAAAAACTACTTAGTTTGATTGTGCTGTATAGATGGATTCCTCCCAGTGCCCCCATGTCTCCCAGTGCCCTCATGACTCAGTGCCCCATGTGTCGATTATTCCAGGTCTCAGTGTTCCTATGTATCAGTGTCTCAGTGCCCCATGTCTCCCAGTGTTGCCTAGTGTCGTGTCCCCAGGTCTCCCAGTGATCCTATGTATCACAGTGTCTCAATGCCCCATGTCTCCCCATGTATCCCAGGGTCCCCATGTCACTAGGACACTAGGAAGACGGGGAGACCTGGGGACAAGGGGAGACCTAGGGACACGGAGACACCAGTGACACTGGGAGACTAGGGGACTCTTGTTGGGACACATGGGGACAATGGGAAAATAGAGGACACTTGAAGACATGGGGACACAGACACCAAGGACACAGACACTAGAGACACTGGTTAAGGGGCATGGGGACATTGAGACATGGGGGCACTGGGAGACATAGGTACACTGAGACACCAGGGCCACAGATACTAGGGACACTAGCTTGGAGACATGGGGACATTGTGACACTGATACCGGAGAAACTGACGGAAGCAAAGCACAGAGGGATGGACACAGGTTTCTTCAGGAAGGAAGAGATTCTTTATTGGATCACCGATCGGGACTCAGAGGGACTAATGTCACCAAAAATACAGCAAGTTCTGAGCCCTGAACAATAGTGCAGGCTCCCTATATAGGCACATAACTCCTCCCATATTAAACTCCTCCCATATTAAGCTCCACCCGCACATTCTCTTGACCAATCATTACAAATAAGAATTAACTTCCTGCTTGACCGCATGGCTTGTCCAGCACAATGGAGGAGGGGAATACTACATCCTGTATTCTTACACATGCTCCGTACACTACTGATCGTATCTTGCCTCGTGCAACCAACTGATCGATACGTCAGCATATGCACGTACACATGCCACGTGGTAATCTCGGCCTACTAAATTTATTTTTACCGAGATTCCACCACATTCCCACCTTTGATGCCTCTTGATATTTTACAATTACTTGAGGCATCACTTAACCTTGGTTTGCATACACCACAAGTTACCTTTGAACCAGACCAGACTTATCCTATGATGTGAATCTTCAACACTCGTCTTCCTGCATTGGTTCTCCCTGATCTAGAGCCTTATATTTATAAATTGCCATTATCTGTGCAGCAGCCTTCCTCTCTGCTATATTTTC